CCGTTTTCACTTTTTAATAAAAGAAAAATGATATAATTATTTAATTTTTCAAACTGAGACTCACTGGCTTTGGCTCATTTTCTGTGAAGAACATATATCAGAATACATATTTAATGACCACACACCATACACCCCCCCCACACATTTCTATTACATATAAGATGTTCGGGTCCACTGGACCAGGGGCTAATAGAAGTGTGGAAATTGATGTTCTGTGTACCACACACACACTGTCTCACACTGTCTCACACACACACACACACACACTAAATGTGTCAAAACAACGTGGGTCGTAATAACTTACTTTATAATCTTTGGATTCTGGAGAAAGTATCAAGTCTTGTCGAGTCAGAGGGCTCAAGTCCGAGTGAAGTCACGAGTCACTGACGTTAGTAAGTCCAAGTCGAGTTGCAAGTCTCTCTACATTTTGTCAAGTCCAGTCTAAAGTCATCAAATTGATGACTCGAGTCATGCGACTCGAGTCTTACCCAAGTCAGAGTCATGCGACTCGAGTCCGACCCGAGTTCAAGTCATGCGACTCAAGTCCGACCCAAGTCCAAGTCATGCGACCCAAGTCCGACCCGAGTCCAAGTCATATGACTCAAGTCTGACTTGAGTTAGAGTCATACGACTCAAGTCCACACCTCTAGGTGAGGTAATGAAAAAGAGAAGAGAAGTGACCCAGGGGTCAGTCACCCCCCTGTACCCCCCCTCACCTGCATGTTGGCCATTTGCTTCTGCAGACAAACCCTGGCTTCCTGGGCCAGGCCCAGCTGCTGCTGGTACCACTGCCTGACCTGCTGCAGGGACTCGATCTCAGCCTGGGACGTCTTCAGTCGGCTCTGCAGCGTGCTGCGCTCCAGCTGAACCTGTTGGTACTGGTTCTGAAGAGTCGCCATCTGCTGACGCAGATCCTGAACTGTAAAAAAAAAAAAGCCGTTTGAGCGAGAAGAGCCAACCTCTGCCTCCGTCACAATACTCACCGGTGTTGTCCCGCGTGCTGACCGTGTTCTGCATCTCCTCCACCTTTGCCATCAGCCGGTTGTACTGCTCTTCTGCCACCTTCAGGTCGTTGCCCAGAGAGGCCAGACCGGCGTTCTTGGTTTTCAGGTTTCCCTGCAGCTCCATCATGGACTTCTCCAGTTGGTTGCAGCTCTGCCGCAGCGTGCTGACCTCCGAGCTCAGGACGCTCCGCCTCTCCTGGCTCACCTGAGCCTCCTCCGTCATGGCCTGCAACTGAGCGTTGACCGTGGTCAGCTGGGCCTG